TGGGTGTGGGTGTGGGTGTGGGTGTGGGTGTGGGTGTGGGGTGTGGGGTGTGGGTGTGGGTGTGGGTGTGGGTGTGGGTGTGGGTGTGGGTGTGGGTGTGGGTGTGGGTGTGGGTGTGGGCGTGGGTGTGGGTGTATGCATTGCCTTCAACATACGCACACCCACACCCTTCTCTGCGTTTGATATCGTCCCATAAAAACAATATTCCAAGTGATAGAAAGTATTGCAAAAGTAAACTTACTTTCATTGTCGATCATATTCTTGATAGATTTTCGAACTATTACTTTCATATATGTAGGGCTATTTGATTCAAAAGGATTTATGCTTCATTAAATACGAATAGCATAAAACAAATCATTAAACACTCGTCTCTATAATATAAACAAAAACAACTAATTAAATTAGCGTTTATCGATTGAACAATCTATGTGAGAGTCGAATGAACATTGTTGCTAATGTCTAGGAAAGGGACAATAGTACTTAGTTCCAAGGTGAAAGCTTATAGATCGTTCATAATAGATATACATCGCTAACAACGTTATGGATGACTCTTTTCTTTGGTACAATAAATAGCGATAGCAAGAGTATTTATTTTATTGATGAAAAAAAAAGAATTAAACTGTTCAGAAAAAAAAAGATTTATATTGAAGAATGAAAGACATAAAAGATAATATTGGTAGATCTAAAAAAAATAATGTAATACAGTTAGATTATTATTTCCTGTTTTTGAATGTTCATCAAAAGCGAGATTAAGATAATGAAATATCCTACAAATAAAAAAAAATTATACAATGACTTTTGTTGCTATGATCAAAAATATAAAATATTAAAGTATCAATCTATTAGATACTTTACCTTTGTATTATTCACTATAACAAAAAAAAAGAAAGAAAACATCAACATAAGTAAAACTATCTTTTTTTTTGATTTAGTTACTCTTTCAAAGATCGCAAGAAATTCGTCGATGAAGTTTCTGTAAATTCACAAGTGCTTGATGAACAATGAATATCCGCTATTATTGATTCTTGTTGAGGAGATTGTCTTGATTGATCACTATGATTCGTTGTTTCATCAACTATTTGGTTATAAATAAAATAAGAGTTATTTTTCTTTCATGAAATAAATTATAAACATACTTGATTCTTCTGACTCAGAAGGACGTAGTTCAGGTCCTGTAATACGTTCACCACCTATCATTTTCATACCATTCATTAAACAATGAAGATATTCTAATACCTGATCTTGCTAAACACATATATATATATCTTTTGATGTAAGATATAATATTATGAATAATATTACTTGATTACGAGCCATTGTTACTTGATCACGAATCATTTTCACTTGACTCTCGAGAATTTGCATTTTCTTGCACATTGAATCTAGTGGTGTGTGACTGAATACATAAAAAAAAAATCTTAGAAAACAAATCACTTTTGGAATCACGAACATACACTCGTTCTTCATCAAAGTCATGTTCTTCATTGAATTTTCTAGCATTCCCCAAACAATTATAATAAACTTCATCACCAAGTGCATCTTCAACTTTTTCAATTTTTCTAGCCAATTTTTCTTCATTAGAACTAATATCGGTTTCAAAATAAAAGAAGGGTGAGTATTTTTAGAATAACTTGATATGAACAAGATAGAGAGCTGTGGTTTTCACCGTTGGAAAGAGGCGATGAAACTGCATCGATTCGTATATTTCGGATTTTTCTGACAAGTACTTTAAAGGTTTCCCCATGAATTTTTTTTTAAAATCAAAGATTTTAGACGTGGAAAAATCGATTTTTTATTAAAAACTAAGGAAAAAAAGCGATTTTTTCGTTAAAAATCGACCGAAAACACACAGTAATGTGTTCATAACTCATGATTAGCTAAACATAATAATAACGTCGGACTTGTATAGCTGATAGATGTTTAGTTAGTGATTCTAGTGCCCTCCTGAAAATTAAAAGTCCATAATATTCACGTTATGTAACGTTTTGTCCTTTGAAAACTTGTCGAGGAACCCTTAAAATACTTGCCAGAAAAATCCGAAATATACGAATCGATGCAGTTTCATCGCCTCTTTCTAACGGTGAAAACCGCAGCTTTCTATCTTGTTTCTATCAAAAGTTATTCTAAAAATACTCACCCTTCTTTTATTTTGAAATCGATATTAATTGCTATAACGAAAAAAGAAACTAACATTTAGATCAAAACGATAACAATCAATTTTGTTACCATATTGTGTTCGTTCTAAATGTGCATCATATATTTTTTTAATCCATGGTGATTTGCTATATTGTTTTAAAATTTTTAATATCAGTCGCCAAAGATGAGAAAGAAAAATAAATGGAGGTGGTATTGATGGTCGAGATAAATATTCACATATTAATGAATATCGTTGAAATTTCCATATTCGATCTGTATCAATTTGAAGACGATCGAAAGTATTACTAAGAAAAATAATTAGAAATTATATAGTTTTTATCTATCATACGTCACGAGATAAATGAAAAACACAACTCTTTTTCCAAATCTCAGTCAGTCTCTTCAAACAATTTTACATAAATATAAGTCATGACCATGGAAAAATCAGACTTTCAATGAAGAGATATTTGTCTATTTAAAATTCTATTTCATTCTTAACGAACATGATTTCCATGTAATTCACAGCAAAAACCAGCCGTTAGCTAATCGTTGGATCTTATAAGCACCAGGGCAGTGCGAGCAGACTTGTGACATACACTTAAATAAATCTTTTAAACTCTTTCTAATGATAAAATAATAGAAGGAAGTAAAAGAAAAAGTTTTGTTAATAGAAACTTGTCTTTCATTTGATAGTACACTAAATTCTATGTAAAGATTTTGGTGATTACAATCTCGTTCAATACCTGAACATTGCAATAAGTAGATTAATCAAAAGTATACTAACAATAGCCATATATGCAACAAGTATAAGAAATACGGCATAACCAGTTGCATGAAAATTGTCTGAATGATGAAGAATTTATCATTTCAAGAAAAAGAAAAAGTTTTTTTTGTTTGCTTACTTTCAAATTTACTTAATATATCAATTTCACCAAATATTTGCCAAAAGGACAGATGTAGAATTTCACGTGGTAAATGCCAAGTAAATTCTTTTGTACCATAAATAAGACTATGAGATGATACACCAAATCCAAAAATGAACACAATCAACAAAACCATATAATGTTTCAAATCATTTATCTTAAAAAAAATTTCAAAACTAAAAAAATAACACTCAAACAGTTTAAAAAATAAAAATTTCTTACCATTTCATGAATCATAACAAGTTTAGGACCGAGTCGTTGAAAAGCTGCAAATATCTCTAATGAACGTATATACCAAATTGATAAATCTATTGACCAAATGATGCGTGCTGCACAAAAACATTCTGTTGCTGGCAGATATCGAAGTATAAACCCAACATAAAAAAGTATGATAGCTAGAACATCTAATTCGTTCCAAAAATCTTTGAAATATTTTACTATGACACAGCGAGTTGTTCGTGCTTCCAATGAACAGAGCTACAAAAAGAATTATCATAGAAAAACAAAAGGTCAAAAAAGAAAGAGTTCCACACGTAAACTCCAAATTTGAAGCTCACTTACGCATCCATATTTTACCAATCAAATCTAATCCATGTTTTCTCGTTTACAGTAGTAAAAGTCCCTTGAACTGCAATCTTAAATAAAGCTAAGTGTGTGATGTTGCATAAATACATTACCTGAGATGCTATTAGCATTACCTGTGATGCTAGTAGCATTACCTTGGTTGCTAATAGCGTTACTTAGGTTGCTAGTAACATTACCTAGGTTGCTAGTAGTATTACCTGGAATACTACTAGTAGCCCAGGTAATGCTACTAGCGTCGCAGCTAATGGTACTAGTAACCCACGTAATGTTACTAGCATCCCAGGTAATGCTTCTAGAAACCCAAGCGATGTTTCTAGCAATCCAGGTAGTTGGTAAACGAGCTTCAAGTTTGAAGCTGACCTACTTTGGAGCTCACTTTTTTCGACCCAAAAAAAAAAAAAACAAGAATTCATATTTAAATTACTTGTCGCATTTCTTCACAAAATAATGTTGTAACCCAAATCAAAAGTATATATTCTAGAATAGCTGGTTGATTACGTTTTTGAAATCCATATGGAATTGTTATATTATTTGTAGATTTACTATCTTTTATCGATGAACTTTCATCATCATCTTGTTTTTCAGAATCAATTGTTGGTCTACATACATCCCGTTGAAATTCATACAGAGGAAAAACACCACATAATACAACATAAGAAAAAAGTAATAAGAAAGCCATGTGAAAATACTAGACAAAAAAAATATCAGCAAGTTTCTTTTGAAATGTAACAAATAAAAATATTCGAATAAAATACATACTAAA